GATCCCAGAGAGTCAGAAACAAATCTTGAAACCCAGTGACTTTTGGCAGAAATGCATCTGGACTGCATACAATGTGGCTACCGTCTCAGAGCTTATTGGAAAGCCAGGTATGAACCGGTGGTGACGGGGCAACTGCAGTCTCATTGGAAGGGGGACAGTACCAGCTCATCCTTCTTGCCCCACCGAGGTCACGAATTTCCCCCCATGAGCGGCTCTCCGGCACGGCCTTGGTTTCAGAGGCAAAATTACTTAATACAGAGCCTGACAGCTTGCAGCAGAAAAGTGAATGTACCATGCATTAAACAATGGCACCATGCCTCCCCAGGAGGAAAAGGGTGTTGCTCCCTTCTGCCTTTTTCCCCCCAGCAGCAAGGTGGCCGCAGCCTCAGAGCTTATTGGAAAGTCAGGTATGAGCCGGTGGTGACAGGGCAACTGCAGTCTTATGGGAATGGGGACAGTACCAACTCGTCCTTCACGCCCTACCAAAGTCATGAGTTGCCCCCCTCGAGAGGCTCTCCATTACAGCCTTGGCTCCAGAGGCAAAAGGACTTAGTCCAGAGCCTGGCAGCTTGCAGCAGAAAAGTGAGTGGACCATGCGTTAAACTACGGCGCCATGCCTCCCCGAGAGGGAATGGATGTTGCTACCTTCTGCCTTTTTCCACCCCAGCAGCAAGGTGGCCACCACCTCAGAGCTTATAGGAAAGCCAGGTATCAGCCGGCAATGACGGGGAAACTGTAGTCTCATGGGAAGGGGGGTGGTACTGGCTTGTCCTTCACGCCCTACCGAGGTCATGAGTTGCCCCCCACAAGCGGATCTCCAGCACAGCTATAACAGTGGACGCACAGAAAACCAATCTCATAATTATCTGGCTCTTTGCAGAAATCCAAAATTGTGTGGCCGCTGTCGTGGCAGAACGACATTATATGATTCTCATAACCAGCTATAAAAAACAAAGTATTTCACAATGCCTTTTCAGCAATTCTGATTGGGGGGGGGGGTGGAAATCTAAACAATAATGGTGCATCTCTTGTCAAAATAATGTAATCAATGTAGAGAAGAGTTAAGTAGAAATCATCCGCCTCACAGGCATTGGGAGGTGTGGGAGGGGGTTATAGTGGGGTTCTTGGTAGTGAAAAATGAGTACTGGTGAAGGGAAAGGTGTTTGATCATTGTATGACCGAGACTTACACCTGAAAGCTTTGCAACTTTTCCCACAGTAAGTAAGTAAGTAAGGCCCTCCCGTTGATCGTCGATTTGCTCGAGCGGGCCCAGTAACGTCTCCATTGGAGACTTTGTTGTTACTGTGTCTGGCATATCCAATATTCTCGGTAGCTTGCCGGGCTCTCCGAGAGGGGCGGAGAAATCGAACTCGGGTTGGCCATGTTGGCCGCTTGTAAGGCGAACGCCCTACCCGCTGTGCTATAGAAAAATAAATAAATAAAATTATGAAAAAAAAAGTAAGGTGGAGTTCATACCCAATTCAATCAGCTAATCAGTGGCAATTAAATAGCAGTACTCCTACATAAAAAAATCAATAAATAAAAATAAAAATAACTGGGTTTCATTAAAAATTAATTTACATTACTAGATATAATTAAAAAAGAAATGTTTAAAAAATACTCAGTATGGACAAAATTATTTAATATCATAATATTATAGTGCTCATAAAGAACTCATAGCTAGAATATTTAAAGAACTATTACTAATACAAATCAAAACAATATAATTAACAAATAGAAAAAGATTCTAAATAGATATTTCTCCTAAAGAAGATATGTAAATAGTAAGTATTCAAAATATAAAATGAAGAAATAAATTCACAGTCAAATAAGAATTGACACTGTTTTTTTCTACCTGTAAATCCTACCTGTGATTTTTCAGGGACTCTGGAGTCCAAAGAAAGGTGTGATCTAGAGTTAATGTTTAAATTTTGTCAGCTGGGCAGAGGATGAGATCATCCAGAAAAGTGTAGGGAAAAGTAGACCATTGCAAAGCAAAGCTACATATAGGGACAAGTTTATATTTCTCCAAACTAATTAGAATGTATAAATTCCAATGATAGAACTTAAATTGTATTCATCTGTATAATTCAGTCTTAATAAATGTTGGCACAGAATTATAGCTAACAGAGCTTTATAATATATTACATTGCAGGTACTTTTCTAATGTTTACAATAGAGAGAGCCCGGCAAGCTACCAAGAGTATTTCACCCGCACGGCAAAGCCTGGCAAGCTTCCCATGACATATTCAATATGCCAAACACAGTAACAAGTCTCATGATGGAGACATTACTGGGCCCACTCAACCAAATCGATACAACGGGAGGACAGTAGCAGTGACATATAGACTATTAAATCTTTACAAAAATTCTATGATGCAGATATTTTATGGATAAAGAAATGGAGACAGAGAGATTTCAGTTTCACTTGTCCTAAATCATATGTGTATGCAAATGTGACATGTTTGTTTTGTTTTGCTTTGTTTTGCTTTGGGATTATACCTGGTGATGCTCAGGGATTGCTTGGGTGACCATTGGGGATGCTGGGGATTGAAACCAGTTTGGCAGTCCGCAAGGCAAACACCATATCCACTGCACTATCATTCTGGCTCCAGTGAAATATGTTGGAACCTGGTTTAAGGAAAACTGCTTCCAGAGTCTGTAATATTCAATGTTGTGCTGCATAAATATGTGTGTTTGTCGAAAGGGGAGAAAATTGGGAGGGGAGAGATGAAAATGGGGAAGGGAGGGAACAAAAGGAGAGATGAAGGAAAGATTAAAGGGGAATAAAAGTAAGGCTCAGGGCTTACTCTGTACTCAAGGATCATTTTTGGTGGTTGGTGCTCAGTGGATCACATGGGGTATTAGAGCTCTAACCCATTTCTGTCTTGTTTAATTTTTTTTTAAAAAAATCTTTACACTGCAGGTCTGGAGAGATAGCACAGCGGATAGGGCGTTTGCCTTGCATGCGGCCAACCCGGGTTCGATTCCCAGCATCCCATATGGTCCCCTGAGCACCGCCAGGAGTGACTCCTAAGTGCAGAGCCAGGAGTAACCCCTGTGTATTGCCAGGTGTGAACCAAAAAACAAAACAAAACAAAAAAAAAACTTTACACTGCAAAACATTACTTTTGTTTTGGTTTATGGGCCACACCAAATGTTGTTCAGGACTTATTCCTGACTCTGTTATCAGGGATCACTCCTGGTGGGACTTGGAGAAATCATATGGGGTGTCAAAGACTGAGCCCAGATTGCAACAAATAAGCAAAATGCCCTAAATGCTATACTCTCTCCAGCCCCCCAAAACATTCTCTCTTTTTCAAATTTATTTTATTAAAGAATGTGATTTACCAAATCGCTGATAGTTGAGTTGTAGATTTACAATATTCTCTTTTAAACTGAACCTCTGAATATTAGAAATGAAGCACTCAGTTGACAGTGAAACCCTCTGAGTTTATCTAAACATCATTTTAAGAGACAGTGGCTTTTAGAAAATGGCCTGAGAAGGAATTTTCAAATGGGTTTTCACTTCTCCATTAAAGGTATTGCTCACAGCGTCTTCTAATTGGGAGGGGTTAGAATTTTACTGGGCTGTGCCAGGTGGATGTTTCCACCTTGGATGAGCCCAGGAGAATGTCAGAATCTGATAAGGAGGTTCCAAGCGGCTGGATCACCATGAACCAGGTAGCCACACCTATAATCTTTGTGACTAAGAATGACTAAAGTGACCACGTTTAGTGACTTTTTAACTTTGAACTCCTGTCTGCATTCTTGTTTGGGGATTCCAATGACTTTACATTTGCCAGAGAACTGTTTAAAGTATTTTATCTTTTTTTTTCTTCTTTTTTCCAGAATAACTTCTTAATAGTTAAGAAGTTTTAAGTATTCTTAAAACTTCCCCAGTTTTGTGTCAGGACGAATCTGGACACTGACCTCTCTCTGGGCATCCCTCCCCCAGCTCACCTTCTGAAATCAGGTGACACTAATCTCAGTCCCTTTAACACAGGACAGGAAGTTTGGCCTCCACTGCTCAGAGTTGCTGAATGATGGAAACTTCAGTTTCCAAGTTCTCCTATTGCAAACTGCATCTATTCATAAAGATCTGAAAACAGAGATTTACAACTTATATAAGTTATATAGGTACAACTACATATTTATATAGGTCACAGATTTCTTAAACTTCAGTGTGAATGTCACGAGAAAAGATGATTAAAACACAGATAATTGTTGAGCTATTCAGCTTGTGATTGAGAGGTGGGGGGTGGGCAGGGTATTGAAGAGTTCAAGAATTTGCTTTCTAATAAGTTCTCAGTCAATGGTGATGTCCAGAAAAGTCATTTTGAAAGTCCAATATGATATTGCAAAAGCCTAATACAGTTAAACAAACCTATACATATATACGCGTATATAGATTCTATATTGCAGCCATATATCGATTAAAGATACATGCATACACAAATGTATATATGATGTATATATATAATTTTAAATGGCCGGTTTTAGTGACCTTATTGAAAACGCTATGTTGCTTTAGGGTTTATTAACATATGATAGCTACATTCATTATATTTAATTACTATACCTTTATAATTATACCAATTTTATATTTATTAATATATTAAGTGAATGTGTTAATTGCCGAACACAGTAACAAGTCTCACGATGGAGACGTTACTGGGCTGCTCGAGCAAATCGATGAACAACCGGAGGACGGTGCTACAGTGCTACTGTTACAGAACGGGGTGTATAAAATACACTGAGGCATTGTTGGAAAGCTAAGCAAATTGAAAACACTTCACAAGGGCCATCTCTGCCCTCAAGTGTTCTCAGAAACCTCAGATTTGAGGGTTCATCAGGTGGGCGTCTGGGCCCGCGACAGTCTTCTGGCTAAACACTCCTGGAGCGCGGGATTGACAGGGCGCTGGACAAATCGATTCCAGCAGCAGCCTCCCCTTCTCCCCCTGGCCCCGCCTCTTTCCCCCTGGGTCTTTGAGTTTTGCTGGAGCCGCGTCCGCTGCCAAACCTCGGCTCTGATCCAGGGCACACACAGATTCCAGGTCGGTGAGCAAATCCATTTTTTTTTTTTAAAAACCAGCCACGGCTGGCTGTCCGCAGTCTGACCCGCCCTACACGTGGAGTTGGGTGGCGGGATTCTGGGGTGGAGGAAGAGAGAGGGGGATGTCTGCAGTTTGGAGCTGACTCAAGTTTGGCAGAGCGCCACGGAAGAGCACCCTGGGAGCTAGTCCGCGTAAGAGCTAGTGAAAGTTACAGCCAGACTCGAGGAGCTGGGAATGGTCGGGGAGGTCGATCTGGAAGTTCGGGGTTCGGGAAAGACCCCAGACAGTGGAAAATGGCTTAGAATTGGAGACCGGTGGCCCTTCCCGCATCGCCAGCCCGTCTGCTCCGGGCGAGCGTGCACGGTTTCTCCTCCACCCGGGCGTTCTTTTCCCTCCCGGAGGGGGTTGGGAGGGGAACCTTCGGCGCGCAACCTGCCTGCAAAGTCTGTGCAAAGGCCGCGCCGGGCGTTTCCGGAGCGCTCACTTTTTTCTGGGAACAGAGTCACGTGCAGATAGCATTCCTTTTTTTTTTTTTTTTTTTTTTTTGGTTTTTTGGTTTTTTGGTTTTTTGGCTTTGAAAGGATAATCTTGGGGGGATCGGAGATATAAAACAACTAGTAACGAGTTCGCCTTGCATGCTGTCGACCCGGGTTTAATCCCTGGCACCACATGTGAAAATGTACTTCCCCTCGCCCCGCCAGAAATAATCCCTGAACCACGAGCCTGGAGTAAATCCTGAGCACGCCTGTGGCCCGAAAACCAAAAAATCAACAACCCCCACCCACCTGTACGAAATCTGTACGAACACAGAACACCTCCGTTCTGTAGAATCAAGCGCGTGAAAGTCCCCAGGTTTGCTCCGCAAAGCTTTGTCATCTCTGATAGGATTCACACTCCAGGAACTTTGTTAGTTTCTTACTCCCTGGTGCTCCAGTTCTGGGGGACTTCAGCCAGTTCTATGACCGACCCATTTGTCATCTGGCAGAAATGACAGGGTGGTGAAAAAGATGAGGTCACTTTCCTCACGGAGCTCATGATAGAATCTTATTTTCAATCTTATTTTCATTTCTTTATCATTCTTACTATAAATGAGAACCCATGAGGGATACTTAATCAATCTTTCACGTATATAATATAATCCTTAAAAGACTCGTGGGTCTGCCATGTGGCTCAGTGGTAGAGCATCCGCCTTGCAAACTTGAGCCCTTGGTTCCATTCCAAGCCTGCAACAACTCATGCATTCCCCAGGGAACTCCCCCAGGACCTGAATCAGAAGTACACACCACCATCCTGTGTGTAAACACACACACACACACACACACACACACACATAAATATTCAGAAGAAAAACAGTGCGGGCCTATATTTCTGTTTTTGGAATTTGCCAAGTTGTCAAAAAGCTTTTGAGAAGCGTGAATGTAGTGATTCTTCACAAGTTGCTTTAAAAATTGTGAAGATGATTATGTGCCTATTCTTTTTTTTTCTTTTGGTTTTTTTGGGTTACACACAGGCATTGCTCAGGGGTTACTCCTGGCTCATGCACTCAGAAATTACTCCTCTTGGTGCTCTGGGACCATATGGGATGCCCATGATTAAACCCAGGTTAGCCGCATGGAAGTCAAAGGCCCTACCCGCTGTGCAATATATGTTCCGGCCCCAATATGTTCCTATTCCGGCCCCATATGTTCTTATTCTAATACTTGTCCAATGCCAAAGTGGACAACAACCCCACAAGACTTCAAAAAATAGCCTTATTCTCAAAGTATAAAAAGCCCAGTCACTTATGATTGTAGTTACTGTCTGTTAACTGTCTGTTAACATTTTTACTGCTCTTTTCCTAGAGCAGGGTGTGGGTAAGCAACCCGTGCTAACTTGTTTTTAATTTCTAGTTTGAACCTTTAGCCTGGACCACCTTTATATCCCTGGTCTATTGACTTTCATCTGAAAGCCATTTTGATGCTAATTATAAGCATACTAATAGATACTTCAGATAATCATCAGTTCATTCTCAGTTCCTTTCCCCACCCCTTTCTAATTTACCTCCTAAATTAAATCTATCTGGGGGCAAGGATGTGTATTTTTTTTAAGGCTTGCTTTTGTAGCCCTAATGTGCATATGAATTCATTTACATTGAAGTTCTGGTACTGATTTGCTCTGTGTGATTCTGTCCCAAGTTCATGAACTGGATATCAGTAAATAGTTAGAAAAAGTTAGAAAAATTAGTATAATTAGAAAAAGTTCATGAACTTTTTCTGTGACTGGGATTTTACAAGTCCCACCTAGCTTTTAGTGGTGCCTCTATCCTAATTTTATTCTATCAGCCTGGGATCTGCTCTCTTGAAACCAGACTGCCTTCTCTCAGACCATCCACACTGTGTATCTCTTGAGACAGGGCTGAGTTTTTCTTGCAGCACCTGGCAATATATATTGGCAGGAGTTCAGTCTGTTATGAGCCCCACCTTCACAATTTCTTCCCTCAGTTTTGACTAGAGTCATCAATCAACTCTTAATGTTGTTTCGTTTTAAGAATCTGTCTTGAATATCTATATTAATGCATTAGACCAAAAATTAGGAATAAAATGGATTGCTTGATATTTAAGGTTTTTAAAAAGTTAAATAGACATGAAATTGTTGTTTTATAGAACACTGTAAAAATATGAATAGATAGGTGGTTAATATTTTTTAAGTTTGATATTTTAGTATTTTTTACCAAGTTTTTAATATCTGCTGTGTATTTTATACTGTTTAAGGTATGTAATTTCTTTTTAGCTGCAGTATGGTACTTAAATATGTGATTACTGTATTTCACAGCACAGTTCTAATTTGTACTTAGAAGATTAGAAGAGTAAACGTCTAATTTTTCTTACTGCATTTTTTTGAGGAGGGACTTGGGCCCACATACTCTGGTGCCTCAGGGTTTATTCCTGTCTCTTCTCTGGGATCACTCCTGACAGTTCTTGGGGACCATATGCAGTGCTGGGGGGTCTAACAGGGGCCAGCCTCCTGCAAGGTAGTAAAGCCCCTATACTATCCATGACCCCTGATTGCATTATTTTGTTGTTTAGTTTATTAGTTCTAATAGTTGTAATTTACATCTAGCAAGCTATAATTTTTAAGCACACATTTTTGTGACTTTTGACATGTATGCAGTTGTGTAGCCGCCATCACGATTGTGATAAAAGACACTTTCCTCACCCCAAGACTTTTCCTTCTGTTCCTTCACAATCCATTCTCTTCTTCAAGTCCTGGGCCGTGCATTTTCAAATCTGCATTAAAATAGTACAATTTTGGTCTTTCCTAGAATTTCGTATCGATGAACTATAATTGTAGCTAGTTTCTTTCACTTTGCTTAGCTTCTGAGGTTCATCTTGTATGTTTCATGGTTTCATGTTATTGTTTCATTGCCTTTGTAAGAACAGAACTAGGCCACAGTGATAATACAGCAGTAAGGGCATTTGCCTTGCATGCTTCTGACCTGAGTTTGATCCCCAGAACCCCATATGAGTCCTTCAACCTTGATAAGGGTGATCCTTGAGCTGTAGGCCCTGACCATAAAAGAATAGAACAGAGTTAAGGTGCTTTGCACTCAGCCAGCCTGATACCACAAAGTCCCCAGAGCCTGCCAACAGTGATGCCTGAGCACAGAGCCAGGAGGAAGCCTTGAATACTATCTTGTGTGCCTCAGCCACCCACAAATAGAACAATTTGCTTGCTAATTTATGTTAGTAGTTTTATGAATTACTTCCTTTTTTTTGTTTGCCTGCTATTACATTGCATTTATGATGTGGGAGCTCTCCTCTGAGGCATTCACATAATCCAAATGCACTTTGATCTGAAATAAATGTGTGTGTGCATTATGAATTATTTTGGGGGAGATGGAGTCAACCTTTGTTAAAATAGTGTATCATTAAAAATATGTTTATTAATATATTGTTGTTCTCTCATCCCTTACCTTGTTTTTATATTAGCAACGATGGGTTCTCCCAAACTAGATTACAGTGCTCAGATACTTTAGTTGCAGTACACTGATTGTGTTCTGGCATATGGGGGTAATACTAAAGGGATAGAATGTGTGGCCTTAGCATACATACATATGGTTTGGGGGCTATACTTGGTGATGCTCAGGGCTTACTCCAGGCTCTGTGCTCAGGAATCACTCCATGCACTGCTCAGGGGGCCATAGACAGAACAAGCTAGTGCCTTTACAGTCCAATTTATAAGATATTTTGAGAGTTTTCCTATAGGGCTAAAGGGACTGTTTTCCTATAGGGCCAAAAGATAAGGCAGTAAGTGGCCTTGCATGCCACTGACCTGGGTTAGATTCCTGACACCCACTATGGTCCCCCAAACCTGCCAGTTGTGATTGCTAAGCTCAGAGCCAGGAGTAAGCCTGAGCACCACTGGGTGTAGCCCAAAAACAAACCAAAAAATGTTGTCCTATATATTATTGTCTAAGAGTTTTGTAATTGTGTGTTTTATATACTTAGGTCTGTGATCCATTTTGAGTTAATTTGGGAAAGGTTATAAAGATTGTGTTCAGATTCATTTGTTTGCATCTGTATGTCTAGTTGATTTAGCATTATTTGTTCAAGAGGTTTATCTGTTCTTTTGTGTCATCTTTGATTCTTAGTGTTTGTCAGAGATCATTTGGTGATATTATGAGGATCTGTTTTTAAGTCTCCCTGTTCTATTGAATTGATGTATTTGTCTATTTCACTAATATATTGTCTTGGTTACTATCATCTTTGAAGTATGTCTTAAAGTTGACTAGCATCTGTCCCCCAATTCTATTCTTAAAATATTGTATTTGCAATTCTGAGTCTTTCACCTTTCTTTGAAAACTCACGTTTATCGCAGTGTACATTTCCTACCCCCAATGTTCTCAGTTTCCCTCCCTGATCCATTCTTTTGGATTTTCTGGACCAGTTATGAATTATATCAGTTATTAGCAAAGTCTTCGTTGGTGTTTTTTCCTTCCCAGTCTGTGTACCTTTTATTTCCTTTGTTGTCTCATTACTTGAGGTAGAACTTTTAGAAAATTTTGTGCTAAGAGGATGCATCCTTATCTTTGTACCTTAACTTAAAGTTAAATTTACAAGGTTTTCAATCATTGAATACAATTTGAGTTGTACTTAAAAACTATTACTGAATAAGACCTTTTGTGTTTTATCAAGCAGGTTTCCTCTGTTAGTTTCTTCCTGAGATTTTATTATGAATGTCGAATTTTGTCAGATAAGTTCTCAGCATCAATTTATATGATTCTGTTACATTTCTTGTATTAGTTATTGATTTAAATTTTGAATGATTCTTACAAAGCTGGGATCTGTCCCATTTGGTTGTGGTGTATAGATTTTACAGTGTAGGATTTAATTTTTTAATATTATGTTTAAAATATTTATATCGTTGTCCATGAGAGATAATGATCTGTGGTTTTCTTGTAATGTATTTGTCAGTTTGAGTACTTTGGTGATGCTATCTTAATAAAGTGAATGAGTTGAAAGTATTTCTTCTTTTATCCTCTGATCTTGTTGAGAATTGGTATTATTTTTTCCCTAAGCCTTTGGTAGAATTCACCACATAAACCATCTAGTACTACTGTTTACCAGGAAGTTTATTAATGACTGATTCAACTTATTAGATAGAAATAGGCCTATCATACTGTGTACTCACGAATGAGTTTCCACAAATTGTGTCTTTGAAGGACTTGGTTCTTTTCATCTAGGTTGTCAAATTTGAGAATTGTTTATAGGTATTCTTTACTATACTTGTGATGTCCACATTATTTCTATTGATGTTTCTTCCATTTATAATATTAATGATTTATGTCTTCTCTCTTTTTTTGCCCAGCCCTGCTTGAGATACAGATTTTATTGGTCTTTTCAAAGACTTTATTTTTTATTGAAACACTGTGAGATAGTTATAAGCTTTCGTGTTTGGGTTACAATCACACAATGATCAAACACCCATTCTTCCATCAGTGCACATTCCCCACCACCAATATCCCCGGTATATATCCCCCCCTTTCCAACTCTCCCTCTGCCTCCATAGCAGACATGATTCCCAGTAATCTCTCTCTACTTTTGGGCATTAAAAAAAAGTAAAGTAAAGGCCCTCCCGTTGATCATTGATTTGCTCGAGCGGGCCCAGTAACGTCTCCATTGGAGACTTTGTTGTTACTGTGTTTGGCATATCGAATACGTCACGAGGAGCTTGCCAGGCTCTGCCGTGCGGGCGAGATACTCTCTGTAGCTTGCCGGGCTCTCTGAGAGGGGCAGAGGAATAGAACTCGGGTCAGCCATGTTGGCTGTGTGCAAGGAAAACGCCCTACTGCTGTGCTATCGCTCCAACCCCAATACTTTTGGGCATTATGGTTTGTAATACAGACCCTGAGAGGTTATCATGTTTGGTCCTTTACTTTCTGCACACATCTCCCATCCTGACCGATTCCTCCAGCTATCTTTTTTTTAGTGATCCCTTCTCTATTCCAGCTGCCTTCTCGCCTTTGCTCATAAGGCAGGCTTCCAGCCATGGAGCAGTCTATCTGTCCCGTGTATCTACTATTCTTAGGTGTCAGCCTCATGTTATATTGTTTTATACTCCACAAATGAGTGAAGTCCTTCTCTGTCTGTCCCTCTCTTTCTGATTCATTTCACTTAGCATGATACTCTCCATGTCTATTCATTTATAAGCAAAGTTCATGACTTCATCTCTCCTGACAGCTGCATAGTATTCCATTGTGTAGATGTACCAAAGTTTCTTTAACCAGTCATCTGTTCTAGGGCACTTGGGTTGTTTCCAGATTTTGGCTATTGTGAATAGTGCTGTAGTAAACAAATAGGTACAGAAGTCATTTCTATTGTGTGTTTTTTTTTTTTTTTGCATCCTCGGGATATATTTCTAGAGGTGGTATTGCAGGGTCAGAAGCTGCTTTTTAACACTAGCAATTTAACAAAACAGCACATTTGTTTCCATTGTAATATCCTATTATTTATAATTGAATTATGAGCTCAATTTGAATGTAGACAATAGGATTTAATTTAGTATTTTAGTATTTAGTCCCAGTATAAAATTATCTTTCATATTAGGTACAAGTGCTAAGATTTGGGATATATATGGGGCTAGAGCAATAGCACAGCGGTTAGGGTGTTTGCCTTGCACACGGCCAACCTGGGTTGGATTCCCAGCATCCCATATGGTCCCCTGAACACAGCCAGGGGTAATTGCAGAGCCAGGAGTAACCCCTGTGCATCACTGGGTGTGACTCAAAAAGCAAAAAAAAGAAAAAGCTGATGATCAGGTATAAGAGAGTATGTCAGGGATGTTTTGTGGAGGAGGGCCCATTTTTTAAAAATCAAATTTATATTTGGAATCACACCCATCAATGCTCAGGGTTTATTACTGGCTCTGTCCTGGTGGGTTCCAGGACCAAATGGAGTGCCCGGTAGAACCCTGGTGAGTGGAGTGCAAAGCAACCTGTCCTATTCCAGTCCCTGAGGGTATGTAGTAGTCTCAGAAATAATTGATGGTAGCTCATACAGACCACTTATGTAGACAGGGGCCTCCATTTGTTCCACCAATAGGATTTAAAGGAGTCATAAGTGTTGCCTATTAAGGGTGGAAATTTCCATCTCATGTGAACTGGGGTAATTTTTTAAAGTTTTTGTTTCTTAGCAAAGTGAAATGACTTTAGGCAAATATGAGGAAGGAAAGAGAAGCTAGTTAAAGAGGCCACAGTCTTCTCCAGAAGGGTGAAGTGAGAGTACCCTGTAAAGTAAAATGAATGAATTACACAACTCAGGTAGAGATAAGTGTGCCCCCAGAATGGGGATTGCTTTAAAAAAAAAATTCACATTGAAATAATTACCTCCATTGTCACTCCTTTTTTCCCTGTGCTGACCCTTGTTTCATTTGTTTTCTCATGGATGCAGAAGTCTATCACTAAGAAACACTTTAGAAGTCAGGATTGAGCAGTCTGGAGCCGGGAGAGCAACAGAGATGACATCAACAGTGTTAGTAGACATACAGGAGGAGGTGACCTGCCCCATCTGCCTGGAGCTCCTGACAGAACCTCTGAGCATAGACTGTGGCCACAGCTTTTGCCAAGCCTGCATCACTGCAAACCACGAGGAATCAGTGACTGACCAAGAAGGGATGAGCAGCTGCCCTGTGTGCCAGATCAGCTACCAGCCCACAAACCTCCGCCCTAATCGGCACCTAGCCAACATAGCTGAGAGACTCAGAGAGGTGGTGCTGAGCTCAGGGAAGCAACTCATGGTGACTCTCTGTGCAAACCATGGAGAAAAACTCCAGCTATTCTGTAAAGAGGATGGGAAGGTCATTTGCTGGCTTTGTGAGCGGTCTCAAGAGCACCGTGGTCATCAAACATTCCTCATGGAGGAGGTTGCCCAGGAGTATCAGGTAAGGCCCATAGATGGGGACAACGGGGAAGAACAAACTCCTTGGCAGGAGCTTCTAACTATGCTCTGATCTGAAGAATATGCATGAGGCTGTGAGTTCAATCTCTGGCACTGCAAAAAGTATAGACGTGCCGAAGGCAAGAATAGTAGATAACACAGAATGGGAGACTAACACCCAAGATTAGTTGAGATAAGTACCAGGAAGTTTGCTCCACAGCTTGGAAGCTGGCAGCACATGCTGGGGGAAAAAAGCAGCTCTGATAGAGAAGGGAACACCAAGGGTGTTTGGAGGGTCCGCTCAGGATGGGAGATGCGTGCTGAAAGTAGAATATAGACCGAACACAATGGCCATTCAATACCTCTATTGCAAACCACAACACCCGAAAGGAAAGAGAGAGCAAAAGGGAATGCCCAGCCACAGAGGTGGGGTGGGGTGAGGGAGGATGGGGCAGGGGAGGTAGGAGGGCTACTGGGATCATTGGTGGTGGAGAATGGGCACTGGTGGAGGGATGGGTACTTGATCATTGTATAACTGAAACCCAGGCATGAAAGTTTGTAAGTCTACAACTGTATGTACCTCATGGTGTTTCACTAATAAAAGTGTAAAAAAAAAAATAGTAGATACCAGTTTTGTTTCTTTTTTTTTTTTTTTTTTTTTTCTGTTTTCAACTGCCTGAACTTCTAGTTTGCCTGGACTTTTGAGTAGAAGATGTGAGTGGGATCACATAGAAGTTCTGGTGGAGGAAATGTAGGGGAAATATTGGCTGTGAGAGTAAGTCATTTAAATTGCTCTGTGGTTGTGTTTCTTCTCTAGGGAGAAAAGAGAATGGGCCTGTTTCCATCCTCTTTTTAGAAAGTATACTTTGGCCTTCTACATTTTCCATCGAAGATTACTGCAGGCTTCTCCCGAGAGCAACATAATCGCTATCCCATCCAATCCATATGAGACCATTTATTGCTTGACCCTTCTTGTCTTAATGTATCTCTTCCAGGAGAAGTTCCAGGAGTCTCTGAGGAAGCTGAAGCAAGAACAACAGGAAGCAGAGAAACTAAATGCTGTTATCAGAGAAAAGAGAGCATCATGGAAGGTAAAGGATTATCCAGGAGGGTGTTGTGGGATAGGAACCAGAGGAGGCCATGGCAGCCCAGGGAAATGAAGCCTGGTCCTGTCTGTTCCACATCTAGCTGAAAGAACTCTCCTTTGCCTAGAGTTTGGTGATCTTTATTTAATAAAGAGTTTTCTTGTGGGCAAAAGAAAAACTGGGAGTGAGAAAAGAAACATAGCCAAAGAGTTGTTCAGATATTTGTAGACCATCCCACAAAAGACGAAACACGTCTCCAATTGCTTATTCTAGAAACTTGGCTGTCATTTCCTACCAATTCTTAGAATCAGAAGATGCAAAGAGGGCCTGAGAGGGCTTGAAAGGACCTGAAGGCTGCCTGGAATCTAGTCCTCAATCTATAATCGCAGTCTTGTGGAGGAGGCCTACTAGGAGGCAACCTCAGATTAATGGTCTGGGAAGGGCTGAAGAAAAATGAGATGAGAGAAGGAACTGGTTCTGCAGAATTAATTCTCCATTGGCCCAGGGGAAACTCATCTGGAAAGTTTTGTTAAACCTGACTTCTCCACAGGAAGACAGGAAACTCACTGAAAAACAGACAAGCAAAACCTAGCATTCTCTTTCTCTTCCTTAAAGAATCAGCTAGGACCTGAGAAACTCAGAATTCAGACAGAGTTTAAGAAACTGAGAAGTATTCTGGACAAAGAGGAGCAGCGGCAGCTGAAAAAGTTGGAGGATGAAGAGAGAAAGGGACTGAGCATTATAGAAAAGGCTGAGCAGGATCTAGTTCTGCAGAGCAAGTCCCTGGAGCAACTGGTCTCTGATTTGGAGCGTCGGTGTCAGGGGTCCACTATGGAACTGCTGCAGGTAAGACTCATGGAGCTACACCCCTGAGGAATGATAGGAAAAGTCCTTCCTTCCTTTCAGTTCCTGATTACTGAGCAAAAGCATTCATCTACGGTTCTTTTAGTTAAATTGTGCAGAGGTCATAAAGCATGGGATAGTTAAAGATATAAATGCTGGGACCAGAGACATAGTATAGCAGGTAAGGCACTTGCTTTCCATGCTGTAGGCCTGGGTTCAATCCCTGCCATTCCATGAATTCTTCCAGTAGTAATTTCTGAGTGCAGAGCCAGGAGTAATCTCTGAGCATTGCCAGTGTGGTCCTAAAACTTAAATATATATTTAAGCATCTTGTAGCATGCATATATATGTGTGTGTGTATTTATATATGTATATGTGTGTGTGTATATATATATATATGTGTCTGTATGTATATACTAAGAGAATGGCTCACTATTATAACTATATGGTGACCCAAAAGTTTTTTTGGTACTATGGAGGAGATCTGTGTATACAGCTCTTGTATACTACACTGGAAAGAATAAATGCATGTGTGCTTTGAAATTAGCAAGACTAGTTGAAATTAAAAGCAGAATAAGGACTACAAGAGGTAAGAAACAGCTGTATTTCAAGCCTTTGTGTCTTGGCACCCAATATAAGCACCTCAAGAATAGAAATTACAGCTTAAGCATTTGGAATTCATAAAATACATTTATAAGTATATATCCATAAAGTACATGCATAAGTACACACACACACAATCACAAACACACACAAACAGTGGTAAAAATAAAGACATTGGGGCAACCAAATGAACAGAAACTTTCTCAAAGAAGAAATCCGAATGGCAAAAAGGCACATGAGAAAATGCTCTACATCATTAATCATCAGGGAGATGCAGATCAAAACCACAATAAAATATCATCTCACACCACAGAGACTGGGCCACATACAAAACTGCAAAAGCAACCGGTGCTGGTGCGGATGTGGCGAGAAAGGGATCCTCCTTCACTGCTGGTGGGAATGCCAAACGGTTCAGCCCTTTTGGAAAACAGTATGGACGATTCTCAAAAAATTAGAAATTGAGCTCCCGTTTGACCTAGCAATACCACTCCTGGGAATATATCCCAGAGAGGCAAAAAAGTATAGTCGAAGTGACATCTGCACTTGTTTGTTCATTGCAGCACTCTTTACAATAGTCAGAATCTGGAAAAATCTGAGTGCCTGAGAACAGATGACTGGTTAAAGAAACTTTGGTACATCTACACAGTGGAGTATTTTGTAGCTGTTAGAAAAGACGGAGTCATGAAATTTATATATCCATGTGGTACTAAATGGAAAGTATCATGCTAAGTGAAATGAGTCAGAAAGAGAGGGATAGAAATAGAAAGATTACATTCATCTGGGGAACATAAAGTAACAAACTAGGAGACTAACACCCAAGAATAGCCGAGATTAGTACCAGGAGGTTTACTTCATGGCTTGGAGGCCAACCATACATGCTAGGGGAAAAGGCAGCTCAGATAGAGAAGGGAGCACCAAATAAAGGTGTTGGGAGGATCCTCCCAGGATGGGAGAAACATGCTGAAAGTAGACTATAGACTAAACATGATTGCCACTCAATGCCTCTTTTGCAAACCACAACACCCAAAAGGAGAGAGAGAACAAAAGGGAATGCCCTGCCACAGAGGGCGAGTAGGATGGGAGGGATGGGGGTGGGAGGGATATTGGGATCCTTGGTGATGGAAAATGGTCACTGGTGGAGGGATGGGTATTTGATCATTGTATAATTGAAACCCAAGCACAAAAATTTGTAAGTCTACAACTGTACCTTCATGGTGTTCCATTAATAAAAATTTAAAAAAGAAAGAAAATTGATTAAAATAAACGTTTTCCAAGATTAGCACAGAAATGAGATAAGGATCACAATCACAAACCCCAGTAAGATGTTTGGAGTTGTTAGTGGTTTTTAATCAATACATCTTCCTTTTCCCCACTTGATGTCATTGGAAAGTAGTGCAGACACTATCAATCTGATTTGTTGCGCATTTTGATCTCATAAGTCCTGATATTGACTGTGTTAAAAGTGATAGCCAAGGTTTTTCTGACATACATGAGAAATCATATTGATAACCCGTTTGCTCAAATATAATCCACTTCTTTCTCCATTATCTTGGGCTTCAAAATGAACAGAAGCTGCTGACATTGAGTTGGGCACTTGGACATTGCAGTGAACATTTATTCGACTTCCAAGAATTTACTTGCCCCTCTAGCAGCTAGCCTCATAAAAAATAAATAAAATAAATACATTGATGAATTAATTAAATTGTTCCCAAGATCCCTACATGGCATTCCAGGAACAGTCAGTACTCTGGGTTTTTATGACTACTCTGGCCTCTGTCTGGGGACCGTCTTTATTGCCATCATATCATGGTATGGTGGGGATGGATGAGGTACATAGATGAAGTTGTATCGGAGGACCAAGCCCATTCCTCCTTGACTTAACTTCTTTCTTTTTTCCCTAGGATGTGAGTGATATCACAAAAAGGTAAGTGAAGGAGAACAGTGGGTGATTCCCTTGGATTGACAAAACATCCTTATAGTATAGGCCTTTTTTCAAGTCTTCTAATCAGGAGAAAGGGGGAAGAAAAAAAAAAAGACAGAATATTTAGAACTATGCTGTCTTGATTTATTCATTAAGAGAACTTTGGGGTTCTTCAGATGAAAATCTGTGACTTCTGTCATAGGAGAATTTGAATCAGGGAAAATCACAAACTGCAAATGCTAATTCCCTTGAGAATAAAGGGTTGAACACTTCTCTGCCTGAGATTTGTATTCTCTTTTACTGTCTCGTCTTTATTCTCCATTTTGTGGATTTACCCACATCTCTACTTGAAATATCTTCTACTCTGGAGAAGTCCTTGTTTTCCGCTGAGTACATAATTTTCTTTCCCCTCATCGCTATAAGGTTATCTTTATGAATTTATCTTACTTTAAGAAAGAGAGAGAGAAGGGGGGAGAGAGAGAGAGAGAGAGAGAGAGAGAGGAAGAAGAAAAAGAAGAAAAGGTTATAAGGAATGGAGAGACAGGTCAGGTCAAAGGGGTGAATGCATGTTTTGTGCAGAGGAGGCCTGGGTTTGACCCCTGCACGGCATGGTCTCAGTGTATCACTCCTGGGTTTGTTCACAAAATAAAACAAAGGGTTGTAGACTCAGTGACACCCCTAGTGCTCTTAATGGAAATCATCTCTTTTTGTTTGTTTTTGTTTTGGGGTTACATCTGGTGGTCCTCAGGGGTTAGTCCTGACTCTGCACTTAGGAATCACTCCTTGCGGTGCTGAGGGTGTCAATAGGATGCCTGGTATTGAACAGGGGTCTGCCGTGTGCAATGTCAACACCCTACCCACTATACCATTGCTCCAGCCCTTCACCTCCTTTTATGCCAACCTTGTATCTTGATTGTAGTAGTTTATAGCTACCTCAAATACAGAGAGGTTCTCTCTCCCCATGTACTTCATCAAAAAGAATTTTCCCCTCTGTCTTGTTTCCCAGTTCTAAGAATCAATACTAGGAATATTTATCTTAAATTTTTATTTTGTGCTTTGTTTTGGAACAGTTTAATTCTTACTCCGAGCTTTTTTGAGCCATTCACATTTTTTTTTCCTTCAAGAAATTGTAGACCTGAGAACTTGATAAAATTGATTGTTTTGGCTCTGAAACAGAATACATTCTCTGTCATACTCTGTAGAATCTCATCTATGGAAATGACATCCAGAGTTATGTATAGTACCTTCAAGTTTCTTATAGACACATGAAATGTGGAGCTTGTTGTCCCTTTTGAAGTCTTTATTTTCAATTTGGAGAAGAGGTAATCTCTATCTACCTGGCAATATCCCTTAAGCATGAATTTTCAGATGGTGTTTTCAAGTCCTTTCTCTCTTGGTTCTTAGGAGAACCTGATGCCCAAATTCAGACTGGAAAAGATCCTTTCCTGATAATCGTAGATCCCCAGCACCAAGCTCCTGCTGATGTTCCACCTTCCCACAGACATCTCCAGCCTTCTACACTAGACCACCTGCTTCTAAAATGGCAGGCATTAAAGCATTTTCTGGGGACTGGAGCAATAGTACAGTGGGTAAGGCATTTGCCTCACATGTAGCTGATCCTGGTTCAATCCTCAGCATTCCGCATCCCAGATAGTCCCCTGAGCACTGCCAGGAGTAATTCCTGAGTACAGAGCCAGGAATAACCCCAGAGAATCACTGGTGTGACCTTAAAGGCAAAAAACAAACAAAAAAAGTATTTTCTGTCTTTTGTGGAAGTATGGAAAACTCGCCATTCTAGTTACTTTTCTGTGGTCTCCATGATGGAAAGGAAAAAGCTGTTATATTGTACTTTGCAAAAAAAAATAAATAAATAAAATAAAATTTAGTGACCCTTTTAGATTAACTCATTAAAATTTACACGATGATTAGGAGCTAATGAGGCCATTTGCAGAATTATGCTCATTTTCTTTAAACGAAGAATGTTGAAATTCACCAATAGACAGGCTAGGGGTGAGAGTCCATTCCACAAATGGAATCAAATGTGGAAAGAGGTGTTGGAGGTCAGTAGTGTAAGATTTTCTGTCTTATAGGAGTGAGTTATGGACCCTGAAGAAACCAGAAGCTCTCCCCACGAAGCTGAAGAGTGGATTTCGAGCCCCAGATCTGAAAAAGGTTTTGCGAGTGTTTAGAGGTGAGATGATTCAGAGAACAGAGGTTGTATGTGTGATAATTGACATGTTCATGTGAGAATTAGATAAGGATAAGAAGGGGCAATCGGTATTTATGTATTTGATAGTTAGGAGTTACATAATGTACTAAAGAAGTTGTAGTTTAAGTGGGGAATTTTGTGTTCTCCACTTAAAGACTCACATTATTCCCTGCTACAACATTCAATCAAGTAAGGAGAGAGAGAGAGAGAGAGAGAGAGAGATCAGATCTAAAATAGTTGATGGACATGGAGAGTGTCTTGCTAAGTTGAAATGAGTCAGAAAGATGGACATACATAGAATGACTGCACTCATTTGTGGAATATAAAATAACATAAAAAATATGAGACCAACATCCAAGGACAGTAGAGTCAAGGGTCAGGAATATTGCGCCATGGTTGGAAACCTACCTTATGATCTGGGGGAGAATGCAGCTGGGATAGAGAAGGGATCACTGAGTCAATGGTGATTGGAGGGATCACTCAGGATGGGAGATATGTGCTGAAAGTAGATAAAGGACCAAACATGATGGCCTCTCATTATCTGTATTGCAAACCATAATACCCATAAGAAGAGAGAGAGAAATTGTCTGCCATAGAGGCAGGGGAAGGGGGACTGGGAACATTAATGGTGGAAAATGTATACTGGTAGAAGGGTGGGTGTTCGATCATTGAAACTCAAACATAAAACTTTCTAACCTTAGCTCACGGTGATAAAAAAAAATTAAAAAGGTGCTTCTACACAGCAGTTTTGACTTGATTTATTTTATCATTGCAGAGTTGACAGATGTTCAGAGCTACTGGGGTAAGTAGAAACCATGGCCTGTTTGAACTGATCTGTTGTCCTTCGTCACGTATTCCTCTCCAAGCCTACCTGCAAGCAGTGGGGTATTTATCCCTCTAGGAATCCTCCCTTCACAGATTCCTATCACCCACTTCCTGTGTTTCCATTACCAGTCCTCATCCGCTGATGTTGTTCCTTTCACTACAGTGGACGTGACTCTGAATCCACACACGGCTACTTTAAATCTTGTGCTGGCAAAAAACCGGAGGCAGGTGAGGTATGTAGGTGGTGAGCTGTCTGGGTCTTCTCTGGAAGAGTATTATGACTGCAGTGTCTTGGGCACTCAGCACTTCTCCTCAGGAAAACATTACTGGGAGGTGGATGTCACCAAGAAGACAGACTGGATCCTGGGGGTCTGCAGTTATTCAGTGGAATCTACATTCTCTTTCAATCAATTTGCACACAGTCGGAATGTTTACTCCAGATATCAACCTCAGAGTGGATTCTGGGTGATTGGGCTACATCATGAGCATGAATACCGAGCCTACGAGGACTCCTCGACATCCCTGCTTCTCTCCATGACTGTGCCCCCTCGTCGTGTGGGTGTGTTCTTGGACTATGAGGCTGGCACAGTCTCCTTTTACAACGTTACAAACCACGGCTTCCCCATCTATACCTTCTCTAAATATTACTTTCCTTCCTCCCTTTATCCATATTTTAATCCGTGTAACTGTGTGGTGCCAATGACCCTGCGTCGTCCAGGCCCTTAAACATCTCTTTTTTTCCATGTGAGCAGACACTCAATTTAACCTCTGTGTCTCCGTTCTGACTTATTTTTCAATGTTCATTTCATTTATTCAGTGCTAGGATATAGTAGTGCTGACAGTGAAAATCCTGAGCTAATTCCACGTCTTAAGATGGGGAGAATAAAATAATATTTGTTGTTAAGGATGATACTTAATGGAGATTATTTTATTTTTGTTGTGGCATGGAATCAAATGTGGAAAGAGTCTATCTTTAATTTGCTATCAGTTTTGTAATGTAAAGTTGAATTTTAACAGCTCATCTCTATGACAGTGTGATAATTGTGTCATGTTTTTGGTGTTACTGGAATGTCTTGACTTGTCTTTTTCTTGACTTGAATTTTTAAATCTAGCATACATTTCTGAAATATACCACTGTTACTATTTATGTTCAATACTTTGTTTTTGCTAGTACTTTGTTCAGTTTTGTTTTCATCAATGTTTGTAAAAGAAATTGACCTCTAATTTTGCATTCTTGTAGCATCTTTGTTGGTTTTTATAAAATACAAACGTGGGTAAATAAAATTCAATGTTATTTGATAAGTAAATATATCAGATTGAATGCTAAAATGTTAGCTATTTTTGGATCAAATTAAATAAGATTCTAACTTAACACTAAAATGTATGGGAATTTTCAAAATATATTAAGCATAATTGGAACATTAAGCAAACCAATTTTTTTTCAATTATTGAAGAAAAGGGGAGAAAGAAAGTAAAAATATAAAGGAAAATAAGATTTATGTATTTCACTATCAGGAAGAGAAAGATTTTTTCAGCTTTTTACTCTTTTCTTCATGGTAAAATATGAGCAGATGGTAAATCAGTTGCAGTGGTTTGGGAAGAGAATGCTATATGCTTTTGAAGCCAGTTGTAAAAGGAATTGCAAAGTAGATGTAAGGGTGGAAATGACTATCGAGTTAACTAGAGCTAGAGTGAGTGTCCTAGCCAAGAGCCTCCAGTGCCTATTGAGAACTTCAGATGTGACCAGTCTGAGTTAATGTTATTACATGTAACATGCACTAAGATTTTGAAAACTTAGCTCAAAATCTAATATAAAATACTTTATTAATGACTTATATTGTATAGTGCAATGATATTTGGATATATCTGATAAAATAAAATGCACACCTAATTTCACCTGTTTCATTTTATTTTATTGATGTAGATTCTAGAAAATTTTAAGTACTATAGGTGGCTCACATACTTCCATTTGACAACTTTTTCTATTCTGCATTTTCTTTTTGGGAATTGAGGAAATGCTCCCAAGCAGTACTCAAGGGTCCGGGGGGACACATCTAGAGATCCTTGACTAACTTGACCAGAATGTTGAGCCCTACAATTAATTCTGCTTGTTTCAATATGTCAGAGGGAAAAAAAATGGACTGCTACCAAGATTTATATTATCTCCAGAAACACCTACCAGAGAAATCTGTCTTTATATGCAAATATAATTACACAACTTCTGGTCTTTATCATATAAATCAACCTCTCTACTACATGAATCTTCTGTTGAACTCCAGACCCTGATCCTAGTCTTGGTTCAAGATTTAGACCCCATTTGCCATAGAAATTGCATCCTTCTAGGTTCTTCATATGAACACAATTCAGTTTATTGTTTTCTACAAGGATGAAGACATTATGCTCCCTGACCTCATACTGTCCTACAAAGCTGTATATTAAAAACAGTATAGTGTGCTCGCTTCAGCAGCATATATACTAAAATTGGAACGATACAGAGAAGATTAGCATGGCCCCTGCGCAAAGATGACACGCAAATTCGTGAAGTGTTCCATATTTTTGCGGATCTGAGTGTTGGGGTAAAATTTTGAATAATTAATGGTGGATCTGGTGTCAAAATATTGAATGTGATCAAAGTATAGAGAGAGTAATGTGGAAATCATCTGCCCCACAGGTAGGGGGAGCGTTTGGGGTGGGGGTACACTGGGGTTGTTGGGGGTGAAGAATGGGAACTGGTAAAGGTACGGGTGTTTCATTGTATGACTGAGACTTAGACCCAAAAGCTTTGTAACTGCTCTCATGGTGATTCAATAAATAAAATTATTAAAAAAATGAAAAAAAAAAGTAAGGTGGAGTTCATGCACAATTCAATCAGCTAATCAATGGCTGAATAAATAGCAGTACTCCTACATAAAAAAATAAATAAATAAAATAAAAACAGAATAGTATTAGATTAAAACAGATGTACATCTCAATATAATAAAATTAAGAAACCAGAGGGCCACCAGAGAGATAGCATAGTGGATAGGGAGATTGCCTTGCATGCATCCAACCTGGGTTCAATCCCAGACAGCCCACCAGAAGTGATCCCTGAATGCAGAGCCAGTATAATCCCTGATCATAGCAGGGTGTGCCCCCCAAAAAAATTTTTTTAAGAATTAAGTTTTCACCATAGGCAGACAATTTATGACCAAAAACCAAGAGTATAAAACAGAGAAAGGAAAATCTTCAATAAGCAGCATTGGGAAAACAGGATAGTCACATGAAAAGGAAAAATTGGGTACACCATGCACAAACATTTTAACTCAAAATTCATTACAGACTTGAAGGTCAGACTTAAAGCCATAAAATATAATGAAGACATTGTCAATACTCCGTTACATTAACAACTTCAATGATGGTTTGAGAGATTGAAACATTAAGAAAAGAAAAGCAAATTAAATGAGTGGAATTATATTCAGATCTTTATCAGAACAAAAGAAGCAGTAGCACAGCGGATAGGGCGTTTGCCTTGCACACGGCCAACTTGGGTTCAATTCCCAGAATCCCACATGGTCCCCCAAGCACTGCCAGGAGTAATCCCTGTGCATCACCGGGTGTAACCCAAAAAGTAAAAAAAAAAAAAGTCATTATTAAAATAAGACATTTATATTTAAGGACCTAGCAATTCTACAATATAAAAGCAAACAATTTCATCAAAATGTGGGGAGAAGTGCTGAATTGATATTTTTTCATATTAAACATTCTCATGACCAAAAGGCACTTGAAAAATATATTCATCATAATGCCCAAAAGTAGAGAGAGATTATGGGGAATAATGTCCCATGGAGGCAGGGGGAGGGTGGCTGGGGGGGGTATACCAGTGATATTGGTGGTAGGGAATGTGCACTGGTGAAGGGATGGGTGTTTGATCGTTGTGTGATTGTAATCCAAACATGAAAGCTTGTAACTATCTCAGGGTGATTCAATAAAATTTTTTAAAAAGGAAAAAGATGTTCATTATCAGAAAATGAAAATCAGAGCTACGATGATAGTCTTACACTTGTGAAAATGGCTTTTAAAGCAGCCACTTTATTATAAAGTGTAGACAGAATATGAATAAAAGAAACCATCGTTCAATGCTGGTGGGGATATTAGTTGGTTCAGTCTCTGCAAAACATTATGAAGGATTTCCAAATATTAAAAATAGATCTGTTTCTTGAAATAGTAATTTATTTAGATATATACCTAAAGAACTAAAAAAATTGTGTCTGGAGGAAGAGTACAGCAGGTAGGGTGTTTGATTTTACATAGCCAACCCAGGTTTGATCCCCAGGTTTGATCTCTTGCATCCCATATTGTCCCCTGAGTACTCCCAGGAGTAATTCCTGAGTGCAGAGCCAGGAGTAACCCCTGGGCATCGCTGGGTGTGACCCCCAAAGAAACATAAAGATACAGTCACATTTGTGTGAATTGCAGCACTGTTTAGCTAGAATATGAAAACAAACCAATTACAGGATCAGTAGATAAGAGTCATTTGGGTACAGTATGAAATTCTATGGCTCCAGGGAGTAGCATTGTTTCCAGTTCTAGATTCCTGTCTGGTCTGTGATTTTAGGGACCAGCACTATGTTTCCAATAGGCCTAGGCCTAACCTCACTCCCTAGGCCCTTTCTTCTTGGCTGGGCCACACTGCCCATGCCCCCTAGTCCGATATAGGCTGTTCCCACAGGGCTGTTTAACTGCCCAGAGTAATATTGTTCTCTGAGAAGTCGGAACTTTCTGATGGGGGAAACTGGAACTTAGGTCTACTGATCCACTTCGGTCTTAAAGTGATCCACTTCAGCCTCACACCCTGCTAGCAGGAAGCAGAACCAGGACCCCTACTTTGAACTAAGTGGGCAAGCTGAAGTTTGCCAGCGTGATTGATCTAGAAAAGGCCAGCTGACCTTCTGATGCCAGCCTTTTCATACATTAAGTTCTGGCAGTACAAAGAAGCAGTTCTCCCC